CATTCATACATTCACTGAATATTATAATGTTACTTCTTAAATATGATATAAATCTGTAACCTCTTTCCAAATCCCACCATACTCTAGTTCAAAATACCATCAGCTCTCACCTACATTATCACACCAACTCCCAATTGGTCTTCCTGCCTCCTGGATTGCCTCCTTCCAATGGGTCTTCCAAATTTCAGTAAAAGTGATTTTCCCGGGAAACAAAGCCAAAATCAATCCACTAATGACTCCCCCAAATAGCTTAATATTTTCAAGTCCTTTTCTTATTTGAAGCTGAATTTCTTTACCACCCTTCTAAGTGTACAGGTATTCACTCTCTGCCAAATACGTTTCATTTCACAGAATATGCCGTGATTGTTCTCACTTCCTAGGTCTTTGCATATGTCATTCCTCTGCTTAGAATGCTCTTTTTCTCTCCTTCCTCTGGCTAACCACTTCTCATACTATAGAGCTTAATTTACATTTTGCTCTCCCCCAAATTGCCTTTCCAAGGTCACTTGTCTGGATGACGTGCCCATCTTATGTGCTCCCAGAGCATCCTGAACTTCAATGATAATGTTTAGCTAGTCTATTTTTATTGCTTGTTTTTCTGTCTGTTCTCACATCCACAAGAACACAAAACATTTTAGTGCATATCTGTTTCTACTTATTTGACCATTCTATCTCGAGGATTGTGCATGGTGTCTAGCTCTAGTAGGATCAATAAATACTTAACAAAACAACCAAATAGATGCATGAATGGATGGATGAATTGACACAGGCATGGATGGACGGATTAATGAAATTTTTTATCTGACTTAAAGATTGCAGAGGAATCTTAGAAGATAGTAAAGAAATAAAGATAGTAAAGAAAGAAGATAGTAAAGAAATTTGTTTGTAAAATAGATGGTAAAGGCAACTGAAATCTTTGTTAGGCATGGTAGGTCAAAGCTTGTTTTTGAGGTCCTGTTACTTCTCCGTTCATCTTTTCACTTTATTTATTTATTTATTTATTTTATTTGAAGATATTAGGGGGGGTATAGATTTTTTTGATATATGGCTTGAATCAGGGCTATAAATGTGCCTTCACCCAAATAGTGTTCACTGTACCTATGAGGTGGGTTTTGCCCTTCTCCTCCTCCCTGCCCCCTGCTTGATTTCCAATGACTTTTACTTTCTTTTGTGTCTTTGTATACTCATCGGTAGTTCCAATTTATTAGAGAGTACATGTGGTGCTTGTTTTCCATTCTTTAGATACTTCACTTAGGACAATGGTCTCCAGTTCCTTCCAAATTGCTGCAAAAGGCATTAATTCATCCTTTTTTATGCCTGAGTAGTACTCCATCAACCCAAGTGCCCATCAGTTCATGAGTGGATTAACAAAATGTGGTATACGTATATCTTTTCACTTTCTTAAAACAGGAAATTATTTTCTATTATCATTCTTCCAGGGCCTGGATCTTCATCTACAATCCAGTAATATCCCTATGGTCAAAACCTACTGGCTAAATCCAGTACCATTTTCATACAGGACCACTGAATCCTGAAAGGGCTTCAACGTTTAAGGTAAGCATGTCTAATGGAGGCACACTGACTTGTAGGGAAATATCTATTTTGAGCCTGCCCAGTGTTGCTTAAATTGTAGTCTCCTGGCCAACCATTCATACAAGAGATGCGGGAAGAGCCATAAAAGGCATTGTGGGGGTTTGTGAGGGAGCAAGAGAGAGGAGAGTTGAAAAGCTGATCTGCTGCTTTACAGTAAAACCCAGAGAAAGTGAGCACTAACGGAAATGTGGTTTTATCCCGCCAGGAATTCTATTTAGCCCGCCAGGAATTAACTTTGACTATAAATAGGTCATCAATGATCCTTTCAGAGAATGTTCAGAGACCTCAACTTTGTTTAGAGACCTTGTGTGGGTGGAACTTCCTGTTTGCACAGAGAGCAGCATAAAGCCCTGTTGCTCCGGGGAGTGTTTGGGACCAGACCAATTGTAGGAAGTGGGAGACAATACAGTCTGGTCTCCTCCGGTCCTTTCCCCCGGCAGCATGGGGAAGAACAAACTCCTCCATTCAAGTCTTGTTCTTCTCCTCCTGGTCCTCCTGCCCACAGATGCCTCAGTCTCTGCAAAACCGTGAGTTCCACACAGAGCATGAAGCATGAACTTAAAGAGTCCTGTCCTTTATTTCAAATTCTCCTTTTTATCATTCATCTGTCTTTCCTGTGACACTGTCTCCTCCTTCATCTCTAAGTTTCCTTCCAACCAGGAGAGTTTGTAAATCTGGTTTATTCCTTCTTCGCTTATTCTTAACCATTTTTCTCCAACTCTCCGGATCTCTGAATCTCTAAATTTCCTGGTGATATGCAAAGCCTTTCTAAGGGCCTTCAGAAATTGATACTTTTTTTAAAGGCATTAATTTTCAGATCTTCATGTTCATAATGCTCTGCTTGAGACCATGCTATTTATCTTTTCTTACCTCCCCTTTCTTAATTGTCCATATTCTATTTTATAAGATAAAGAGAAACTTCTCCCTCAACCGTATCTTACCATGGATCATTGTCCTGGAGTATAAAAATCTCCAGGGTGCCGAATAAAGGAACAATTTGAAATACTGGTATTGGTGTTGAGAAAGCAAAGGACTCTCACGACAAGAGAGAAAACCTTTTTGGAAACCAGGTGGTGATTAATTCTTTGTTTCAACAAAATTGAAGGAGAAACTAAAGGAAATACCAGCTGATGAGTGATTAGAAGCAATTCTTGCTAATAGGGAACTGGGTGAATTTTTGCAAGTAATGCAGAAGAATTTACAAGTGGTGGCAATAATACTATTGTTTTACCTGCCATTTATACTTTTATGTGAACAATTCGTCTCAGGACTTAAATCTACACAAAACAAAAATAGTAACAAAATTAATGTTAGACCTTGTTTAATTCTTGCAATGACGAATATCCATCCATGGATACATAAATTCACGGGGGGGAAAAGCAGCTCATTATTCTCACCAAAGATGTGTCTCAAAATTATTTTTATTTTAATTTTATATCTAATATTCATGAAATATACTTTGTAATGTATTTATTTTGTTTTGATCAGTTGTATACAAGCACTTTTGTAAATAACTCAATCAGAAGAAAATGTCTAATATTTACAAATTTATGGTCACATTATCTTTATAAGAGGAGTCAAAGTTAAATTTATCTACCCACCTGTAATATTACGTATATATGTACATATACTTGTTAGCAAAAAGAAAGAGTGATCCACAAAATATTTTGAAGCACAAAAATCTTAGGATAAACTTCTATATGGTAAGAAGCATGGAAATTCAAGTTCAAGGAGGAAAAAAAAAACGTTAAAAACCTGACCATTACAAAAAGAACTTTTTAATGTTTTTAAGTAGGTGATATTAGGTATCTTATCACTATAATATTTAAGATTCTATGGGAAACTTGTAAAAGTAATCAAAGTTTTAATTTAACATATCATCAAAAATAATATCTTTTGCTATTATTTAAAACTGTGGTTTTAAAAATAGATGTTTACTTGAAAACATGTAAGAAGTGCACAATGTTCAAAAATTATTTTAGGAGTTCTGTGAGCAAAAATATTTAAAAACTACAAAGTCAATCTTAAATTATATATCAGGATACTGAGAAAGTTTCTGTCCTGCTCATGATTTAGCAAGGTCTAAGTTCAATCACTAGAGGGCCATTTTTGGATGGAGCCATTGTCTAAACATGAGTTGAAAGGCAAATATTTAAAATGCAAACATCCATGGTTAGGTAACACTCTAAGACTTTATGAGTTGCTAACCACAGCTGAGACTTTAAACTAATGACTCACTTTCTTTGAGGCTTAGATTCCGTATCTGTGTAGCAGAAGCAAGTACTTGCCATACAATTCACAGGGTAGTTGAATTGTACATGTATATACATATTTTTTTCTTTTTTAATGGAAGTTTTATAATTTGATTGGATTTTCAGTGTTCACATGCCTGAGAGCTTGCTTGCTTTTTACAGCAATCCTAAGGTAAAAGAAATTTCATGAATAAATGTCATTAACATATTTTTTATTTGAATTCAGATGCTCGTGTATTATGATTCCTTACAGTGAGGTGTGCCTACTAATTTTATTCTTTTAAGGCCCACCTCAAGTAAAATGTTCACTGCCGTGGCATGCGATGGAAAGGGGAAATAATTCTTATGCGTGCCATTCAACAGCAGAGTTTCATGCTCATCAATCTGTCATCTCTTAGAGTAGAACCGATGATGGTAACAATTATGATGGAAAACAGTGATGTTGACAGCAGTGCCTCTCTTCTTTTCCTCTTCTCTATCCAACTGCACTATCCCACTCTCAGACAGTATATGGTGCTGGTCCCCTCCCTGCTCCACTCAGAGACCCCTGAGAAGGGCTGTGTCCTTCTGAGCCACCTGAATGAGACAGTCACTGTACGTGCTTCCTTGGAGTCTCTCAGGGGAAACAGGAGCCTCTTCACTGACCTGGTGGCAGAGAAGGACCTATTCCACTGCGTCTCCTTCACTGTGAGTGTGGCCGTTTGAATTTATATATTCAGTTCTATTGGTCAAGGTCTTAGGGATCCAGTATTCAGTCAAGATAAGGCTTTGGAGGCTAGTAAAGACTTCAAGAAGGAATTGAAATATAGCAACTAAGCATAGAAATTAAAAAGCAATGCAGGCACAGCAGGGTGGCTCACACCTATAATCCCAGCACTTTGGGAGGCCGACACAGGAAGATCGCTTGAGGCCAGGAGTTCGAGACCAGCATGGGCAACACAGTGAGACCCCGTCTCTAAAAAAAAAAAAAAAAATTTAAAAATTAGCTGGGCGTGGTGGTTTGTGCCTATAGTCCCAGCTACTCAGGGATGCTGAGGTAGGAGGATCACTTGAGCCCAGGAATTTGAGGTTGTAGTGAGCTATGATTGTGCCACTGTACTCCAGCCTGGGTGACACGGAAAGACTCTGTCTCAAATAAATAAATTAATTAATTAATTAATTAATTAAAAGCAATGTATGGATCAACTTAATGATCAAAAAAAAAACCCATTAGCCAGAAAGAACAAAAAAGATAGTATGCACTAAACAAAGAGAAAAGGTGACTTCTTAAAATTATTAGTAAAAGTGGAGAAAACCTTAATAAAGCAAACTAGGCCCAGAATCAACATGAGCTGCCATTTGTGGGCTGAGAGGAACATATCACTCCACACTCTAAGAGTAAAAATTATAGAAATTACTCTAAGAAAATGCTTAATATCTCTTAAGAGTGGCCCATATGTGAGATGTTTACAGCCTAGTGCCAATTAAATATATAGTTTTTTTCACAGCCTTAAGACATGCTTCTCCCATGCCTTTTTGGCATATAACATCGACTTGGTAAAGCTCAGCATATAATTGAATCAAGACTGTATTTTTCTGGGCTATACGAACATGTGAGTCTCAGTTATAACCTCTCTTACTGAAGTTATTTTCCTCCACCTTGTGTCCTGGCTCCCCATTTGTAAAACAGCAAGAGTCCTTCCCAGCCATGCCGGCTTTCCCTGATGAGAATGTGGGAGTGAAATTAGGGCAAGATCTCAGGGAGGAGTGGAACAGAGAATAGCAGAGGAGGCATGGGAGGCTGAATGGACTCTCACGATCTCTGCCGAATTGCAGGTCCCGCGGTCTTCGTCCAGTGAGGAGGTGATGTTCCTCACTGTCCAAGTGAAAGGACCAACCCAGGAATTCAACAGGCGGACCACAGTGATGGTTAAAAACAAAGAGAGTCTGATGTTTGTCCAGACGGACAAAGCTATCTACAAACCAGAGCAGACAGGTATGAAGAAGCCTACAGTCAGGGCAACTTCAAAAAGAAAGACCTTCCTACCTCGGATATTCCCCGAAGCTCCTATAATCTTGGTTCCTTAATTGCTTGTCTTACCAGCCTCTAGGCCTAGTTTAGGGTTTGGGGGCTCATGGAAAATATTTCCGTTTCAGTGAAATTTCGTGTTGTCTCATTGGATGAAGATTTTCGCCCCCTGAATGAATTGGTGAGTCTCCTATTATCTACATAAAATTATTATTATCTGTATAATTGCCAGGAACCTACTTTTCGTGTTGCAGGGAAGACCAGGGAGAGGTATCACTAATAGTAATTCTGGCATTACAAGGCCATGGGATCCTCATTTAGGCCGTTATCCCAGGTCAAGAGAGTAGGTAATTCTTTCTGCCTTTTGCACTATTTACTCAGTTAGTTGTCACACAATTAAACTTACTCTTTAGATAGTTCTCAGTTAGGAATATTAGAAAGATACACTAAATAATAGACACAAATAAACCATCAGAGGACCTAAATTCAAATAACTTTTCAGAGATTTAGACTTTTTCTAAACACTCCTACCTAAACCTCTGCTATAAAGGAAGATGAGGGTAACCAATTTGTTCCTCAAGATTAACCTTTGATATTTGTGATAAAAAAGAATTCTTTCTATTATAATGCAGACATCAAACCAAAGTTTTCCTTTTTCTCTCCCAAATCTACTCCTCCAGCACCTTTTCTTATCTCGAAAAGAGGCAATTCTTCTCTCCTAGCTCCTAAAGCAAGAGATTGTGGTATAATCCTTCCTTCTCTTTCTCCCACACCCACATCCACTTCACCAGAAAATCATCTTGACTTAAAATATATCCGGACTACTTCTTACCACCTGAATTGCCACAACCTATTCCTGGTCAATATCATCTCTAAACAAGATCATTGCAGTAACATCGAAAGTGAGCTCCCAGCTTCTATTCTCACTCCTCTATCTAAAATCACACGCCACATCCATCACTCTGTCAGCTTAACCCAGCGTTATTCTTCTTCTCGGCATTTACTACCACCTGAGAGATGTACACGGAAGGTTTTCTTCCTATTTGTCAATTCGTATTATAACGTAAGTTCCTCTAAAACAGACATATTGTTCTTTTGTGCATTGCTATGTCCTCAGCACCTAGAACAATGCACAGCACTTGAGTAGGTACTTAACAACTGATAGTTTTAAAAATGAATAGCCGCTGATAGCAGAGCTATTCCCATTCTTCCTCATTCTTAGAATTACCTAAAAATTCTATCACCCATACATCTGAGCATGGTTGCTTACAGTTTAACGTTTATTTCTTGATCTGTATAACTGCATGGCAAAAGAATGTTCTTCACTAAAATTCTTAAGTACTTAAGTAATGTTAGTAAATCCCATTCCTAGTGAATGGCAATGCATATATATATTTGTTTCTGATGGTCTGGTAAGTTCTTAACATTATTTATTAATTGCTTAAAATAGATTAATTAAAAGTTCTGTAAAAGTTAATCTGGACTCTTTTGTGTTTTTCTATAGAGAGTGTTATTCTACACAAAGCTGCTTTGCTTATAAAAAGGATTTGGGAATATTTGACAACAATTATAAATTCCTTTTTTGCTTTCTCCTTTCAGATTCCACTAGTATACATTCAGGTAAGCAACTTGAAACATTCCATAATTGGAATGAAAGCAACAAGTTCAGGGAAAATGTTCTTATTTGAGAGGTCCTTACAATATCTCAGAAATGTGTCATTAAGGGAGAAACCTTCAGACTCACCTAGGATTGGATGGTTATAATTCACTCCCCTTCTTACCCCTCACCATGACCCCATTTGTCTTCTTTGCGGGTAACATAGGAGTTTTTTTACCTTTCTTTTATTGTCTCTAATGATCTAGATGCTTTTGTAAGTGATAATTAATTTATCCATAGGACCCCAAAAGAAATCGCATCGCACAATGGCAGAGTCTCCGGTTAGAGAGTGGCCTCACACAACTGTCCTTTGCCCTCTCATCAGAGCCCTTTCAGGGCTCCTACAAGGTGGTGGTACAGAAAGAATCAGGTGGAAACGTAGAGCATCCTTTCACTGTGGAGGAATTTGGTATGGATCATGGAAAATCATGCACACTTTTTTTTCATAGTTAAACATCTAGGGCCCAGAATTTGAGCTTATTTGGAGTCTTTCCCTTCCCCATGGGTGACATTGGGCTTGGAGTAGAACTAACTGTATCTAAGTCCAATGAGGACATTAATGATTTGTGAATAGGACTTCATATAGCTTCGTCATTTTTGTAGAAATAATTAATACTTCAAGAAGTATACAACATCCTTATTTTAGTGGAGTCTTCCATAACTCATTAAGGATACAGTGATCTGTCATAATCCCTCAACCAAAATCTCCTTTTGAGAGTAAGGCAGATGTCTTAGTCCATTTAGTGTTTCTATAAAGGAATATCTGAGGCTGGGTAATTCACAAAGAAAGGAGGTTTATTTAGCGTGTGATTCCACTGGCTGGAAGATTGGGCATCTGGTAAAAGCCTCAGGCTGCTTCCACTCACGGCAGACAGCAAAGGGGAGCCAGCATGTGCAAAGATTACATGGCAAGAGAGGAAGCCAGAGAGAGCAAGAGGGAAGATGCCGTGCTCTTTTTAACAACCAGCTCTTGTAGAAATAAATAGAGCAAGAAATCGTTCAACCCCCCCAATCTATTCATGAGGTGTCCATCCCCATGACCCAAACCCCCACTCTCCAACATTGGGATCAAATTTCAACATGAAGTTTGAGGGAACAAACATCCAAACTACAAGAGTGGATATGGTTATATTGGAGAGAACCTTCCTTTTCAGAGACATACAATATAATTAAGAAATTATTACAGAGAATCTGAAAATATTAATGTCCCCAAAGTTGAAAACTAATCACCAACCTTCTTTATTGCTATCAACAGTGCTTCCCAAGTTCGAAGTGCAGGTGACAGTGCCAAAGGTAATCACCATCTTGGAAGAAGAGATGAATGTGTCAGTGTGTGGCCTGTGAGTTGATTATTTTTCATCTTTTGAGGAGAATTATTTAAAAGAGACTCATGATTTGGGATATTTTGGCTAGTTTCTCTAGGAGCAGTGGCAACACAAATACTTTATTTTGGGAGCATCTCCATCTATAGAATGTTCTTCTTTTTCTTTTCTATTGTTCCGTCTTTCTTTCATATCTTTATAAGTATTACTATAACTATCAGGAGGTGGGGAACTGTTTCTATAGAGGCTATGCTACTAGGATGGATTCTGAAAGTGTCAAAACTGCCTGCACAAATACACCAAAGCAAAAGCAAAAACAGGATAGTGCTGAAGGATAGTGGCTTTCCCTTAACCAGAAGTAACCAAACACGTATTAGAGAGATGATCGACACGTGGTTAAAGAGGAAATTTAATCATCAACAGATCATTTACATGACCTTGCATGTATAGTCAGAAAATGGCCTAGATTCAGAATTTGTAGAGATAGGCATATAACAAAATCCCATCTAACTCATTGGTCTACCTAAGGCATGTCACATACTCTCTGCACTGCCATTTTTACTGAGGAGACTGGACATGATCTCTCAATATGGTCTCTTCGAGGCTTAAAAATTCATGTTTCTAAGATCTTACACTCCTATCTCTGGTAGCCCAGCAGCAGCACTAGCAGGAAGAGCAGGCAGAGTGAAGAAACCAGTCCTGCCTAAAAACCACATATGTAATGCACCTACTGCTCAGCTGGGCCCCTGCCCCAGGCTGTCTCAGAGCAATGGCCAAGTTCCTGGTCCCATGTAACTGGTAAGCCAATGCCCTTGCAAATAGAGATATAAAGGACATTTCAAATAGGGAAGGAAATGCAGTGATCATCTATGACATATTTATGGAACAATTCCATTTTTGTAAAAAGTAAGCAAGTGAAACGATATAATTAAAGATGGCTGGGGAGAAGATAATGGAAGCAGAGGTGCCATCATATTAATAGTTTGTATTCCTAGGTAGGCTTAGGGCATTCGTTTCTTCTGTTTATTTTTGTTTTGTTGTTTGGTTGGTATTTTTTCTCTTTTTTATTTCAAAATATTAAGATGGTATAAGTGTTTTTGTTACATGAATGAACTGAATAACACTGAAGTCAGGGATTTTAATGTGCCTGTCACCAGAGTAGTATATGTTGTACCCAATAGGTATGTTTATATCCCTCACCCCACTCCCATCTTTCCCCCTTCTTTGTTTCCAATGTCCTTTACACCAACTATATGACCATGTATACCCATAGGTTAGCACCCACTTTTTAGTGAAAATATGTGTTTGTTTTTCCATTCCTGGGATACTTTGCTTAGGATAATGTTCTCCAATTCCATTCAAGTTGCTGCAAAAGGCATTATTTCATTCATTTTTATGGTTAAGTAGTACTTCATAGTATACATATATATACCACATTCTTTTTCCACTCATAAACCACAGCCAAATATACTGAATGGGGAAAAGTTGAAAGCATTTCCCTTAAGAACTGGGACAAGAAAAGGATGCCCATTGTCACCACTTCTATTCAACATAGTACTGAAAGTCTTACCCAGAGCAATCAGGCAAAAGAAAGAAATAAATGGCATTCAAATTGGGAAAGAGGAGGTCAAACTATCCCTATTTGCCAATGATATGATCTTGTGTCTAGAAAACCCTAAATACTCCCCCAGAAGACTCCTGGAATTGATAAATAAATTCAGCAAAGTCTCAGGTTACAAAATCAATGTACACAAACTGGTAGCATTTCTATATACTAATGACAGTCAAGTTGAGAGTTAAATAAAGGAATCAATGCCATTCACAATAGCTACAGAGAAAATAAAATACCTACGAATATACCTAACCAAGGAGGTAAAGGATCTCTGCAAGGAGGACAACTACAAATACTGATGAAAGCAATCTTCTTTCATCACACAAACAAATGGAAAAACATCCCACTCTCATGAATTGCAAGAATCGATACTGTTAAAATGTCCATACTGCTTGAAGTGATTTACATATCCAATGCAATTCCCATCAAAATACCAATGTCATTTTCCACAGAACTAGATAAATTAATCCTAAGCTTCATATGGAACCATAAAAGAACATGAATAGCCAAAACAATCTTATGCAACAAGAACAAATCTAGAGGCATCATATCACCTAACTTCAAATTATACTGCAAGCCTATTGTAACCAAATGGCATGGTACAGGTATAAAGATGTTTTTCTCTTAAGGACAGGTTTAACTTTTGTATTAAGACAGACATTTTCTAAGACAAAATTGAAAAGCAATCAAGGAAGAAAAAGATATGACAAAAAGAAGAATGTAGTAAATTTTAGCATGTTGCACTGGAGATTTCTGAAAGAGAAGAGTGATTAGTGACTCTTGCCCTCAATATTGTGTGATCCCTGCATAGAACAGAGGGAAGTACAGAGGAGGAATGTACTATGACTAAAGGGGAAATTTAAATATAAATAGGTAGAAAACGGGGATGATGTTCAATGTCTGCTTTGATTCATTTGGAAATCTTCTCATAACAGATACACATATGGGAAGCCTGTCCCAGGACATGTGACTGTGAGCATCTGCAGAAAGTATAATAATCCTTCCAACTGCTTTGGTGAAGAGTCACAGGCAGTGTGCGAGACATTTAGTCAACAAGTAGGTTGAAAACTCTTCCTCCTAGGAAATAATAATAAAGGCATTGTTGACAAGCAGTGAGTTGCAACATGGTGCTAACTCAGGAAGAGAACAATCTGGAAGAGAATTCCATGCCAGCTATTGTAATTTTAAAAAATCATTAACTTAGAAAAATAGAAATTATTTCTTGTAATTGCCCATTGTGAATGTTCCAGAATGATAGAAGTTGAGATATCCAAAGCCTCCTCGGGCATCAACTTCTACAAAGGAGGGAGAAAAAACATATACCTCTTAATTGCCTTGGCTGGTTAGAACGTCAGTGCTGCTCTCTTTCAGTGAGCAAGAACCTGTCACATGGCCCCACCTAAATGCCAGGGAGGTGGAGAACACAGTCTCCAGATGGGTGGCCACTTCCCAACCTCACCTGTATATCACAGGAGGGGGAACTAGACTTTGATGAGGAATTAGTTCTAATGGTCTATAGCAGAACAGCATTACTATAGTTAATAACAATGTATTGTATATTTCAAGATAGCTAGTAGACAGGACTTTAAATGTTCCCAATAAATAAAAATGATAAGTACTCAAAGTGATGGACACCCTAAATAAACTGACTTGATCATTACGCATTCTACTCTTACAACAAAATATCGCATGTACCCTACAGATACGTACAAATATTACACATGAATAAAAAGAGTACCCAAAAATGTTTAAGGCATTTCTATCTCATTCTCTCTAGGGAATTTCTGATACTAAGGAATACACCTGACAGTTATACACCTGTCACAAGAAATGAGATGTTGTTGTGAAATGTAATAATGTTTAGTCCCTAGAGAAAAATTATTGTGTCCTCATCATAGAAAATACCTAGATTATGTCATCCCAAAAAGAATCACATCAGATTAACTGACCACTGATCTGTGAAGAATAATATATGCTATGTTTTTATATTTTATTTTCTTCCCTCTTAGCTGAACAGCCATGGCTGCTTCTCTCAGCAAGTAAAAACCAAGATCTTCCAGCTGAAGAGTCAAGGGTACAAAATGAAACTTCACGTGGAGGCCAATATCAAAGAAGAAGGAACAGGTTTGTATACCACATGAGTATGGGAGAAAAAACAATGGACACTGCTGTAACTTTCTAGCCAAATTATGAACTGTAAGGGAGGAGGTAGTATAAGAAGTTCAGGGACATCGCCCTTCCAAAAACAAATTTATTTTTTTTCTTCTTTTTCAGGAGTGGAATTAACTGGAAGAGGATCCACTGAAATCACAAGAACCATAACCAAACTCTCATTTGTGAAAGTGGACCCATACTTTAGACAAGGGATCCCTTTCTTTGGGCAGGTGGAGTATTTTACAGTTCCCTGGTGAACCCATGTACTGTCACCTAATTAGCACAATAGGTACAGTTTCTGCTGAAACCATAGCTGATTAATGTTATCAATGAATATAACCAAAGGTATAAAACCACATAAAAATAGATTTGTTGCTGTGCAAATTTTTATATGAAACATATAAAATTATTCTAAAGCCCTATTGAAATTAGTATGATTTTTTAATCACTTTTGGAACAGTATTACGTAATATCACTCAACTTCCTTTTCATGGTTTACTATGCAGTCTCAGGTTTCAAGACATTTTCTCATAGGAATCTCAAATTTTATGTTGACCGTTATACTATCCTTCTAACACTAACTTTGTAAGGAAATGGTTGGGTAGGTGGTTTTAATTTTTATTTTGAAGTATTAAAGATTCTACTATACCTAGTGTTTCTTTTGTGGGTACTATATTTCCATTACTTTTCCATAACGACCAGTTTATTTTTAAAACCAGTAAACCTAGGGATAAAATACTGCCATTTAAGGTTTCCAGATTTTTAACTTATAAACTTTCATACAAATCTACCAAAAAATCTTCCATTGTGATTTTCTATTGTAAGCAGATATGCAAATGGACCTTTCTGATTGCAAAAGTCTGGAATGGCAGTTGTAGGTACCTCAGTGTGCAATTACTGTGTATCCATGTTCTTGATAGAAATGTTTCAGAATTTCAGCTATGGAGGGTATAAATGATAGAGAGACTAGACTCAACAAAGTGGAGCACGTTCCAGAGGTCTTGGTTATGTTATGACAGCAAAACATTTTCAGAAACTTTGGCCACTTCCTAAAATGAAAGTGTGGTCCATTTTTAAATTGCTCAGAGGTACATTGTACTTTTTTATATTTCATTGCTATTAAATAACCATCCTATTTGTCATAAGACATTCTCACTAGAAGAGAATCAGAATTTTGTGCACATTCTTATCTTTGTACGTGCAGCCAACATTTCACTGGCAAACTTAGATTTTGTTAATCAGTTATGAATACTGATGCAAGTCAGCCTAGTGTACTTCCTACTACCAAAAGTAGCTCCTAGTGAAAAAGAACCTTCATCTTTACAATCTGACTGGACTATTCATCTGCTGAGTTGACTGTTAGCAGTAATTTGGCCTTAAGGCCTTATTTGATGCTGTGTGACTCTCTTCAGTTTTACATTTTTCACGTGGGAAGTGTGTCATAAAATCTGCCCACCTTCCAAATGGTTGAAAGTCTGGGTTGAGAAGCAGACACCATATATAGCACAACTAGAGAAGCACACAGTGTTAGCGATTGCTTACTTGTGCATGAATGATGCTTCGAGACACTAATCCATAGGAAGTTCATGGTCCACTCCAAAATAAGTGTTTGGGGCTCAAATAAATGTGACTAAGGTATTAAAATTTTCATTACTATATTACTTTTGTGTTCTGTGACTCTCTAAGAGTTATATATAATGCACAATGTTTCCAAAATATCTAGAATACATCTTTCAGGTCATCCCTATTATTATTCCTATTGCTGTCTATCCCTTCAAACGGCTTTATTTTTCTTCTTAGGATTGATTACTACTAAATTAATGTATGTTATTTATATATTCACTTAGCATCTATCTCTTTTATTAGACAGTGATAAAAGGAACTTTATTTTGTTCAATGCTATATCCTCAATGCCTGGAACTATATTCAACATGTAAGAGGCACTCAAAAAATATTTGCAATAAAATGAATATGTTTGGTGCCTATTAGTTATTATCCATATAACTGACCCACAACTTTTAATTTTCAGGTGCGCCTAGTGGATGGGAAAGGTGTCCCTATGCCAAATAAAATCATCTTTGTCACAGCAAATGAAGCTAACTATAAATCCAATGCTACCACAGATGAGAATGGCCTGGCACACTTCTCCATCAACACCACCAATGTTATGGGTACCTCTCTTACTGTTAGGGTAAGTTAGAAAGAAGTTACCAATGGCATGAAGTAGCCTTGAAAACATGGTTGCAACTTAAAAAGTGATGAAATTTCCAAATTGTGTTTAGTCCTATGGAGAGAAAAAACTAGCAATTAGAAACCAATTTAAGGTCAACTTTTTACGAGTTTATGAAAGGGAGGCAGTATTTTGGTGTAGCTAAAAGTGTGAATTCAGCTGGGCACGGTGGCTCATGCCTGTAATCCTAGCACTCTGGGAGGCCGAGGCAGGAGGATCGTGTGAGCTCAGGAGTTCAAGACCAGCCTGAGCAAGAGC